CCCCCATGGCATTTCCCTGACAACTGCCCCCCCAGTCATGATCTCGCGGACGCTGGGCCCCGAGTTTGGGGGCAGCATCGGGCTCATGTTCTACTTGGCCAACGTCTGCGCCTGTGGGGTTTACGTGCTGGGGCTGGTGGAGGCTGTGCTGGACGTCTTTGGGGCAGGTGAGCCCAGACGCCGGGGTGCCTCCCCAGAGGGCTGGTGGATTAGAGCGGGGGGGCTGGGAGTTAGGACTCCGGGTTCTCCTCTGCCCTAATGGTCATTCCTGTCCTTCCCATCCCCTCCAGATGGGACAGATCCCCCCGGTGCCCATGCCCTGCCCCAGGGCTATTTCTACAGCTTCCTGTATGGCTCACTCGTGCTACTGCTCTGTTTGCTGGTCTGCCTGGTGGGTGCCCGCATCTATGCCCGTGCTGCCTTCCTCATCTTCCTGGTGGTGAACCTGGTGCTGCTGGCCATCTTCCTCAGCTTCTTCGTGGTGGGGCCCCGCCCGGTGCCCGTGGCCCGTGATGTCAACCACACCTTCAACACCAGCTTCACCGGCTTCCGCCTCGACACCCTGCGTGCCAACCTGCATGGTCAGCAGGGGCAGGGCACAGGGGGATTCTGGGGTGGGGGAAGGAGCAGCTCAGATGGAGGAGGGGCCCAAGAAGTTGAAGGGAGGGGGGATGGCAGGGGGTAGGAGGGAGAGGGATACAAGGGGGTGTGGAGGGACAGAATGGGTTTGGGGGCTGTCGAGAGATGGAGTGGGGCAAGTCTGGGATGGGGAAGCAGCGGGGAAAGGGGGGCATAGGCTGGGGTGGTGGCATGTAGAGGAGGGCACATGGCTATCGGCTGGAGAAAGCAAACACTGGAGGATGGTGGAGGGAGGGAGCTGACATGGAGCTGTTGGTGGAGGAGGGATCATGAGATATGGGGGGCTTGGGACCTAGGAGGGGGTCCTGCTGGCGCAGAGAAGGGGTGAGTAGGGCTGGGGGGAGGGGAAACTAGCTTACTCACTTGTTCCTCTGCAGCCATGTACTCCCGTGATTACACCACCAATAACGTCATGACGTTTGCCACCGTCTTCGCTGTCATGTTCAATGGCTGCACTGGGATCATGGCCGGCTCCAACATGTCGGGTGAGCCTGGATGCCTGGGTTTTCTTCCCAGTGCTGGGAGGAGAGTGGGGGGCTGGTGGGTTAGAGCAGAGGGCCTGGGAACCAGGACTCCTGGGCTCTCCGCCTGGCTCTGAGAGGGAGTGGGGTCTGGTGGTTAGAGCAGTGGGGCCTAGGAGGCCACACTCCTGAGTCTCATGCTGGCACTGGGCTGCTGTTACAGGGGAGTTGAGGAACCCTAGCAGCTCCATCCCCAAGGGCACCATCATTGCTGTGGTTTACACCTTCGTCATCTACTTCCTCCTCTTCTTCATGACCAGCTTCACCTGCGAGCGGTGAGGGGGAGGGGAGTGATAAGTATCATGGCCTAGGAGGAGGTGGAGGACACACTATGTTGGCATCAAGGGGTGGGGCTAGGGCGGGACAATAGGAAGAGATGGTTAAAGGGTGGGGCTGAAGAGAGATGTAGGGGTTGGGGCAGAGCTGGCAAATGGAGTGGAGCTAGAAGGAGAGGACGGATGGGGCTACAGGGTGTCGGGATGTGGAACACCAGGACAGGAGGATGAGAGGGGGGGTGGGGCTATCAGAATGGGGCAGTGAATGGCAAGAGGGTGGGTCTAATGGGTGGGAGGCAAGTGATGGGGTGAGGGGGCTATGGGTAGGTGTGGCTAGCAAGAAGGAGGGACAGGAGAGCTGCAGCAGGAGGAGGAGGAACAGAAGGGAGTGGGGTCTGGTGGTTAGAGCAGTGGGGCCTAGGAGGCCACACTCCTGAGTCTCATGCTGGCACTGGGCTGCTGTTACAGGGGAGTTGAGGAACCCTAGCAGCTCCATCCCCAAGGGCACCATCATTGCTGTGGTTTACACCTTCGTCATCTACTTCCTCCTCTTCTTCATGACCAGCTTCACCTGCGAGCGGTGAGGGGGAGGGGAGTGATAAGTATCATGGCCTAGGAGGAGGTGGAGGACACACTATGTTGGCATCAAGGGGTGGGGCTAGGGCGGGACAATAGGAAGAGATGGTTAAAGGGTGGGGCTGAAGAGAGATGTAGGGGTTGGGGCAGAGCTGGCAAATGGAGTGGAGCTAGAAGGAGAGGACGGATGGGGCTACAGGGTGTCGGGATGTGGAACACCAGGACAGGAGGATGAGAGGGGGGGTGGGGCTATCAGAATGGGGCAGTGAATGGCAAGAGGGTGGGTCTAATGGGTGGGAGGCAAGTGATGGGGTGAGGGGGCTATGGGTAGGTGTGGCTAGCAGGCTAAAGTGCAGAGATAGGTAGGGGTAGGGCTGAGGACTGGACAAGGGGTGTGGTTACATTAAGGGTAGGGCTTAGCAATGGGGGTAGAGCTATGGATGAAACTAACAGGGAGCTCTCGGTTGACAGGCATTGCTAATGAATGGGTGGGGCCAAGGGGTAGAGGCAGGACCAGGTGAGCTTGAGTGGGATGAAGGAGCATGTGTGGGACATGCAGGGTGGTAGGTGGCACTCAAGGCCTGGCTACCCTCGCAGGACGCTGCTGAAGGAGGACTACGGCTTCTTCCGCTCCATCAACCTATGGCCCCCGCTCGTGCTGGTCGGGGTTTACGCCGCATCCCTCTCAGCCTCCATGAGCTCCCTCATAGGGGCCTCCCGCATCTTGCATGCGCTGGCCAAGGACGACCTCTTTGGTGAGCCCTCCCTGGCCTCTGCCAGACTATCCCCCTCCCCTGCCCACACACCTTGGTCCTTTCCTTGCTCACCTGCCTTTCTTCCTGTTCCTCTCCCCCACAGGTATCATTCTGGCTCCAGCCAAAATTGTCTCCAAGGGGGGTAACCCCTGGGTGGCCGTTCTCTACACCTGGGCCCTGGTGCAGGTAAGCACCACTCCCTGCCCCAGGCTCACCTGCTCCCCTCCTGGAGCGGGGGAGAGAACCCAGGATCACCCTCCCAAAGAACCCAGGTGACCTGACCCCCTCCCTTGGTTTCTCCCCCACCCCAGGTGGTGCTGTTCGCAGGGAAGCTCAACACCATTGCAGGCATTGTCACCGTCTTTTATCTTGTGGCCTACGCAGCCGTGGACCTGGCCTGCCTGTTGCTTGAGTGGGCCTCTGCCCCTAATTTCCGGTGAGGAGCCTGCCGGAGGGAGCCATAGGGCATGACATGGGTGGGGGCATGGTTTGGGAGAGCCAGGGGTGAGCTGGGGGTTTGGAGGAAGCAGTGTCTAGGGGTGGGAGTGCATGAAGAGGAAGGAAGAGGGTTTGGGAGGCAGTGCCCCCAGGTGGGGAACCATGGGGGGTAAGGGAGAGGCTTAAGAGGCCGTGCTTAGGGCTGGGGGGTGCATGGAGAACTGCAGAGGGAGGTTTGGGGAGAGTGGATTGGACTGGGGGCAGGCTCCAATTCAGGAAGGCTTCATGGCTTGGTGGGGGCCAGGGGAATGGGTGGTGGGATTTGGGGTGTCTGAGGGAGCAGGGCTATCTCTAACCCCACCTCCACTCCCACTAGCCCCACCTTCCAGCTGTTCAGCTGGCACAGCTGCCTGCTGGGCATTGCCAGCTGCCTGCTCATGATGTTCCTGATCAGTCCGGCTGGCGCCTCGGGCAGCCTGGTGCTGATGTTAGCGCTGCTGGGATTTATCCACCTACGGGCACCTGCCAGCTCCTGGGGCTATATCAGCCAGGCCCTCATCTTCCACCAGGTACCAGGCGGGTGCCAGTGCCTCGTCTTCTCCCAGCTCCTGCTCCAGCCACCAGTCCCCACTCTTCTGCCAGAACCCGGAGTCCTGGTTCCCTTTTATTTTTTCCCATCCCCCACACGCTGCCCTTCAACCCACCCGGAACCGGGGATGTTAAATTTAGATGAATTCGCTAATTGAATAGTCAGTAAGGGCGCCTCCGCATTTGAAGTGTAGCATCAGTCTCAGGGCTGTTGCTGCACTTCAGAGGCAAATGTGCTGTGGGGAGCATGGGGCCAGCGGGGGACTCAAGCAGTCCCCCGCTGGCCCCGGGCTCCATGAGGCGCTGCCACTTTGAAGCATCCCATCCTCTCTCACCCCTTGCTGCCTCTTTCTGATAGAGGCAGCAACGGGTGGGGAAGCGCTTAGTCAACTAGTGTGACTATCTGATAAGCAAATGCTTATTGGATAGTTGACTAGTCATTCACATCCCAACCTGGAACTGGAGGGGATCTGGCAGCCAGTCCCTCATTTCCCCCCCCCCTCCCAACCTGGAACTGGAGGGGGCATCTGTGCAACCCTGAGGATGGCTGTTGGATCAGGTGTCCATCAGCCAGACCCTCTTCCATTCACCTTGTACTGCCAGGGGGGTCTGTCAGCTGGGCCCCCTCGTATAGATGAGGGGGCTTCCTATGGCTGTGGGGTGACCTTTGAAAGTTGGTGGGGTTTGCTTGGTATCCTGAGTAGTTGGGGGCAGTGGGATGTTGACAGGGCAGGGGAGTGTGATGGGTGGGTGGGAGTTTGGGGAGCCACGCCCAGCTCCTGTGATGTTGTCATCCCAGGTACGGAAATACCTGCTGCTCCTGGACGTGCGCAAGGAGCACGTGAAGTTCTGGCGCCCCCAGATGCTGCTGATGGTGGCCAACCCCCGGAGTGGGGCACAGCTCATCCGTTTCGTCAATGACCTCAAGAAAGGGGGGCTCTTCGTGCTGGGCCACGTGGAGATTGGGGAGCTGGGTAAGGGACTCCAGCATCCGGGTGCCAGCATCCCCATCCCAGGCTGGGAGAGAACCCAAGCATCCAGGCTCCTCCCCCAGCTCTGATTCACCAGCCCCCACTACCCCCCCTAGAGCTGGGGAGAGAACCCAGGAGTCTTGGCTCCCATCCCCCCTGCTCTGACCCACCAGCCCCCACTCCCTTCCCAGACCTGGGCAGAGAACCCAGGAGTCCTGGCTACCTTCTGTTTCTACCCTGCCAGATACGATGCCCTCTGACCCCATCCAAGCTCACTACAACTTCTGGCTCAGCCTGGTGGACAAACTCAACGTCAAGGCTTTTGTTGATCTGACCCTCTCACCCTCTGTCCGTCAGGGGACCCAGCACCTGCTGCGCATCACAGGGCTCGGTGAGTGATCTAACCAGCTGCCCCACCCCAGAGCTGGCTGCATCTCAGCATCTGCTGATCTGATCTGCTCTCTCCCATTTCCAGGCGGCATGAAACCCAACACGCTTGTGCTGGGCTTTTACGACACCTGTGTGCCTGAGGACTACTTCCTCCATGACCCAGCCTTCAGCCAGGCCCGGGAGAATGACCACTTTGGGGTGGACCTGCCGGCCTTGCAGGCTCACTTTCCCACGGTGCGCGGGGCCAGCACCCTCAAGGCTCTGCTGGCCTCTGAGTACGTCTCCATCATCTCGGATGCTGTGAAGATGCACAAGAATGTCTGTCTGGCCCGCTACTTCCCATTGCTGGACAAGGAGCGGCTGTTCTCCAAGGCCGGGCGGGCTGAGGGGCGCTTCGTGGACGTCTGGCCCCTCAACCTGCTGCGTCCCGACACTCCAGCGTATGTGGATGTTTGCAGCCTGTTTCTCCTCCAGTTGGCCTGCATCCTCACCATGGTGAGCTCCTGGCGGGCTGCCCGCCTCCGTCTATTTCTCTGTGTGGAGTCAGGAGACCGGGGCTGGGTGGGCAAGGAGGAGAAACTCAAGGAACTGCTTAGCAAGCTGCGCATCAAGGCATCCATCCAGACAGTCACCTGGGACCATGTGGTGGCCTTGCATGGCCAGCGGCAGGCGGGCGGGGAGGCCCAGCGGGTGACCGATGAGTATCTGGCAGCTGTCAATGCCCTGGTGCTGAAACAGGGGGGCCAGGTGGCTGTGCGGTTCCTCTACTTGCCCCGGCCACCAGCTGACACCTCTTTGTATGAGCGCTACCTAGAACAGTTGGAGATCCTCACCCGGGACCTAGGGCCAACCCTACTGGTCCATGGTCTCACGCCCGTCACCTGCACCGAGCTGTGAGCACCAGAGGAGGGACCCCTCAAGGACAGTCTGGCAGGACCTTTGGATGTTCTCCCTCTCTGTGGGGCAACTCCTGGGGCGGGGAAGCTGCTAAATGGTGGCGGTTGGCTCCATACTTGCCTGGGGCAGACTTGGGATCTGGGGAACTCCTAGAGCCAGCAGTGGGCTGTGCCTTCCTGCCTTCAGCGTTGAGGTGTGCTTGGGAACTGGGGAATGCACGCCCCGTGAGATTATCTGAGGGGGGGCCTGGCCTTACATTAGAGCCCCCCCACATCTGGTGCTTCTGAATGCAGAGGCACCCCCGAACTGAGGCAGCAAGACAGAGGGGATTAGATATAGCACAATCTCGTAACTGAGGGGACAAGGGGTGCAAACACTGAGCTTGCACTATATGCCATGATCTCTGCACTGTTGGGTGGGGATCCCCATTTTTCCCAAAATCAATGCACTCCAAATTCCTTCACTGTTTGGAGGTACCCAGAAAAATGGGTACCCCACTAAACTCAAGCACCCCAAATTCTCTATTTGCACCATGCCACGGCTGTTCGGGGCCCCTAGCTGTTCTTGCACTCCAAAAACCCTTCCGGGGGTTGCCTCTTCCATGCTCCCCAGTGTCTCTTGGAGGGACACCTGCTGCTCCTTGATGCCTGTTGCCTTAGTTCTGTGCCTCCCAACCCTACAGCACCATAATCCACCTTGCATATGGGGGACACTAGCACTCCAGTAGTGTGTCCTGCTCCAGTGGTACAAGGGGCTGCCCCAAAATAACTCAGCTGAAACTAACCCAGGGGAGGGATAAAAAGTGTGGACCCCAAAACCAGCCACCCCACTCCACCCTATCCAGGGCCCAGGCAGTTTACTTACCCTACTAGGTCTAACTTTGGTTAATGTTCTCTCTGATACCTCATGTAACATGACTGACCAGTGCCCCCTGGAGGAGGGGTAATAACACAGCAAGCTATGGGGGGGGTGGGGCTATTTAGACATGTATTTTAACGAGTGCACTCAATAAATGGATAACACAAAAAGGATGGTGGTTGGTGATGTGGTGGGGGAGCCAGGACTCCTGGGATCTCTCCTTGACTGGGAAGAGAGTGGGGGCTGGGACAGTGTTTTCCCGAGGAACTGAAATTAGGTGAGCTTGTCTGGCCTGACACACACACCCTCCTCTGGAACTTCAATGAGGGGTGAGACTGAGGGCGGGTTGTGTGATAAATGCAAAGCAGTGCACACTGGAAGCAATCTCAACAAGACTTACACAATGATGTAATCACAGTGAGCTGTCACCATTAGGCTAGTTCTTGTCTGAAAACATCTGCTCGTTGTGTAGCAGAAGTCCAAAAAGCAAAGCGAGTGTTCAGAACTCCCAGGAAAGGGCTAGAGAAGGCAAAAAGTGCCCTAAAGCTGCTCTCTCAGTCTTGGGTGCAATCTCATCTTGACTGCTGGGTGCAGTCAGGTGTTCCCCGTCTCCCATTCCAGAGAAGATATATTGGCAAAGGTACAAAGAAGGGCTCCTAAACTGATTAGGGCTCTGTAACAAAAGCAGAGATTAATGAGACTAGGACTTTTAAGAGTGGAAAAGAGATGACCAAGGGCAGTATGAAAAAGGCCCATAAAACATGCCTGGTGTAGATCAAGGAAATGTTCTTTACTACTTCCTGTAACATAAAATAGGAGTCACCAAATGAAATGAAAAGGTGGCAGGTTTAAAACAAACAAAAGGCACTACTCTTCACACAATGCATAGCCAACCTGTGGAACTCCTTGCCCGAGGTTGTTGTAAAGGCCAAGACCAAAACAGGGTTCAAAGAAGCACTAGATACATTAAAGGAAGATAGGTCCATCAATGCTTATTAGCCAGACTTGGCAGGAATGGTGTCCCAAGGCTCTCTTTGCCAGGAGCTTGGAATTGCTGGATGGTTCTCTGTTCTCTTCATTCCCTCTGGGGCACCTGGCACTGGTCACCATTGGCAGACAGGACACGGGGCTGGATATAGCTTTGGTCTGACCCAGTAAGGTTGTGCTTATGAGAAAATTAATACCAATGTTTGGTATAGAAGATAATGACTTCTCAAGGAGGTGAGAGAAGGACCTTGGCAAATAATGTGTTTTCAAGCTCTTAGCCTACTCGGTACCATGCCTATAAGAATTTCTCAGGCCCAAATCTAGCCTGCTGGAGCAGACACGAAAACACAATCCAATAAAGCAACGTTTCCCAAACTATGGGCTGTGGCCATGGGAAAAAAATACAGGGCCTCAGCATGGCTGCCGGGAGGGGAGCAGAGCGGGGTGGGCTGGGAGGAGGTGTGTGTGGGGGGGGAAATCAGCTGCTGGGAAACAGGGTTGAGGGCAGCAAGGCTGTTCCGCGGAGATCCGGGTGGGCGGGCAGTGGAAGCAGGGTTGGGGGCAGTGGGGCTGTCCAGCGGAGATCAGGGAGGGCAGGCGGCGGAACGAGGGCTGGATGGGGTGGGAGGGAACTGGCCGGGGGAGGTCAGGGAGCTGGGCTGACCAGGGGAGATTGGTGGGGGGGCGGAGGGAACCAGCCGCCAGAAGGGGGCAGCAGGGCTGGACTGGGGAGATCGGGAGGAGAAAGGGGGCGGGAGCAGGACTGACCCAGGCACATGCAGACCCTGCAGATGAGTGAGTCCAGCCATGGATTCCATTTCCCTTCATCCCCTCCCTCGAGTAGTTGCGAACTGTCTGGCTGACCAGGGGAGATTGGTGGGGGGGCGGAGGGAACCAGCCGCCAGAAGGGGGCAGCAGGGCTGGACTGGGGAGATCGGGAGGAGAAAGGGGGCGGGAGCAGGACTGACCCAGGCACATGCAGACCCTGCAGATGAGTGAGTCCAGCCATGGATTCCATTTCCCTTCATCCCCTCCCTCGAGTAGTTGCGAACTGTCTGGCAGGTAGACACACTCAGGCAGCATGAGCACATCTACCAGCCACGTAGTTCGCAGCTAAGGACTGATATACCTAATTATAATAAAACTTACCTAATTAGAAAATACCAAACATTTAATATGTCTGGTAATTTCTCAGTTTGTTTCCTGGACAAAACCCTCAAATACCGGACTGTCCGGTACAAAACCAGACACCTGACAACCCTACCTTTCCTTGCACCCTCCCTCCTAGCCAGATACCCTATCCCCAATCTGCTCCTGCTCCCGCCTCCTGGAGTGCCCATTTAGCGCTGGGTCCCCCAAACCCTGACCCATGCTGGGCGGAGGATGCAGCCGGGTGAAAACTGAAAATTTATTCATTTTTCATTCTTTTTTTAATATGTGTTTATAGTTTTGGGCTGCAAAAAACAGTACTGAAAAAAAACGGGTTCCAACTAAAGTAAAAAGTTTGGGAAGCCCTGATCTAGCCAGCTTTCTATCCATCTTACAGTCCATTTATCCAATCCATAGTCCCTTAACTTGCTGGCAAGAATATTGTGGGTGACTGTATCAAAAGCTTTGCTAATGCTGGCACTGGGGGCTTTGGGAGGACCAGAAACAACTTATTTGAATATTCATCATTTGTTTAATGAATGTGCAAATGAATGTTACCAGTCCTCCAAAATCTTGTGAATGGATTTACTGGTCCCCGTGTCAAAAAGTTTGGGAACCCCTGCAATAAAGAAACTCTCCTTTAAGGCTCCCCTTGCTTTTCCCTCCACCGCACCCCCACCCACACACACACACACTGCACCAGTGTTCTCCTTGGTCAGTGGAGATACCAAGTTCAGAGGTGTTTTCACATGAGTTCATCTCCCAGATGGGGGTGGAAGGCACCTTGCTTGTTTATATGGCCATTCACCGCTCTGGCTGCGGTTCGCTCTACCACTCCATTGCAGACAGCCCTCTGGCTGCTTGCCATGACCTCTGAGAGTGGGTCTCTTGAGTCAGGGGAAATCACTGCTCATACTGGCAGGGCTGCTTCTTCCACACAACTGCTGTCCAGCAGCAGGTCTCATCAGGGGTGCGGCCAGGACAATCCAGCTTCCCCCAGTCAAAGCAGCCTGGGGAATTATCAGGGCTGGAGGGGAAGCGCTGGCAGCAGTGGTCCAGTCTTCCCCACACTCACTGGCAGCAGCAGGGGAAGCAAAGCAACCCAGGCCCAGCTCTCTCTGCTGCCCCAGCTGAGTCACTCTGCTTCCTGCAGAGGAGCTACATGGCTGGAGGAGCATGGCGAGCTGGGGCTGCTTTGCTTCATTTCCCCCGCCACTGCCAGTGAGTGCAGGGAGGGCTGGACCCCTACTGCTGGCATTGGACCCTTCCACTACTCCCTCTACCAGCTGCTGGCCAGCCCCTGCCCCCTGTCTATGGCATTTGAGGGCATATTCTCCCTTTTGTCCCACACATGTTGCCCCTCAGTCTCAGCCCTTAGACCCAGTTATCAGAGTTGCCAGGTGTCTGGTTTTCACCCGGACTGTCCATTATTCGGGTCCGGTAAAAAACCCAGAAAATACTGGACTTGTGCAATGTCTGGTATTCCCTCGGGCGGAAGCCCAGCGGACATAATTTTCCCCGGGAGCGGGGAAAAGAGGAGTGCGAGCCTCCCCCCTTTTTTTTGCTCAACAACTTTGGTTTCCCCTACTTTTTCTTTTCTCAACAGAATTTGTTCCTGGTGGTTTTTTTTGGGGGGGAGGGGTCGGTATTTTTTGTTAAACCATTTGGCAATCCTACCAGTTATCAGTGATTTCAGCTCTAGCAGTCACTAAACAAACCAGAATCATAGGACTGGAAGAGACCTCAAGAGTCATCTAATCCCATCCCCTGCGCTCATTGCAGATCATTGCTCATGTAGAGCAGGGCTACTCAACTTTGGAAGGCCTGAGGACCACTCACAGCACATGAAGATGGTTGCACAAGCATGTAAATATATATATGCAAATATATGCAAACAGCTTCTTTCACACTGGTGGGCATGAATACAAAGATTAAGCCTTAAGACATGGTGCCAGACCCAAATGTGGCCAGTGTGAGCCAGTCAGCACCTCTCAGGCTCTGCTCACAAGACTAAGCAACCAGAACTGCCCACAATGCCCCGGCGCTCCCTACACCTCCTCCCTGAGGGCTAGAAATGCCGACACCCTGTACCCATCTGTTCCAGGCAGCCTGTCCACTTGCATCTTTCAGTGCTCACCTCGCCTGGGAGACGCCTCGCCACTGTGGAACATGTTCCCAGTGGAGGCCATGTTCAAAGAATCCCACTTCAGGCCATGTGTAAACCCAAACTGCACCACAGGCCACAAACAAACGGGCCGTGGGCTGCGTGTTGAGTAGCCCTGATCTAGACCATCCCCATCAGGCATGTGTGTAACCTGCTCTTAAACATCACCAACCACAGAGGTGCCACAACTCCCTTGGCAATTTATTCTGCACTTCACACACATGCACCCCATTCCCCACTGGTTAGGAAGTTGAAGACTCTCTATGGAGCATAACCAGCACTGTCTATAAACAGGGGAGAGGACCAGGCTGACGGCGCTCATGATTCTTAGATCTTCTGGCAGAGAGTTCCACAGGTGGCTTGTATTGCATGAACAAAAACCGCATTTGGTTTGTTTTATACCTACTACCAGGTTTTGCTAACTGCACTGGCATTCCTAGAATTTGTGGGATGTGCCAATTGAACTGTAGTGGAGCTTTGATTGGATGCAAAGGAAGCATGTGGCTCTCAAAGTCAATGTAGCATGCAATCAGCATGCACCTCACTTTACATGCCCTTGCTTTATGCACCAGTCACTTGAATAAATCTGGCAGGAAAAATACAAGGCGGATGAAAACTGGCAGAGCCTGGCAGCCCTGTGCGTGGGAACCAGTGAACAAATGTCTCACCGGCCACACGTAGAAATGGCGTGGGCTCTATGGCCGCACCTTGCCGCCACAGGTTTATCAGGGTTGCCAGACACTTTAACAAAAAATACAGATACATGGCGGGGAGAAAATTGGATGAGCAAAAGAAAAGGGACCCCCCCCCCCCAACCCCCCCCCCCCAAAAAACGGGGGATCAAAGTTGAGCAAAAAAAAAAAGTCACTGTGCCCTTAAATTCCCACGCTACCTGCTCCACCCTCACCCGCCAGATGTGGCAGGGGAAGAATGTCCTAAGCCGCCTTCCCTGGAAAAAACCAGAAGCGGTATTTTCTGTTGGGTTTTTTTACCAGACAGAGGCCGCAAATACCGGAACATCTGGTGCCCCAGCATTCAAGTACTTGCAACCCCGCCCCACCCCAGCAACGTTCATCACGGCCTCGGCGAGGGAATGAAGGGAGAGAACCCAGGAGTCCTGGCTCCCCGCCCCTGCCCCGCTCTAGCCACCAAGCCCCTCGCCGCGCGGACGGGAAAGGGAAATCCCGCAGCGGTGGGGGCGGGGCGATGGCTGCCTGAGCGAAGGCCGCTGGTCACTTAAGAGTTAAGCCGAGTGGGGAAGCCCGGGGCATGCTGGGACTTGTAGTCAGAGGCAAGTTCCGGGGAAAGCCAGACACATGGAGCGGGGCAGGTGAGATTGCAGCGGACTCCTGGCTTCTCTGCCTGGCGCGGGAGCGGGGCGATTTGAGGATTGAGACTCCGCCCTCCTGTCTTATATTCTTCCCCCAGCCCATGGGCCACGGGGAGGGAGAGAGAGAGAGTCAGTCCCGGCCCCCAGGCACTGCCCGGCCCCAAAGGACTGGCAGCAGGGAAATGCCGCTCAGCGCACGCTGTGCTCAGTCCCAGGGCTGGTCCTGGTGGGGGGCGTCCTGGCTCCAAGCCCTTTCCCCCCGCTCCGCTCTCAGAGCCCACGAGTCCCGACATTAGTGGCTCTCGCGCAGATGAGCGGGGGTATGATTTCCGGCCCGTCCTTTGGGATCTGGACTGAAGCCCAGTTGGTTTCCCTTTTCCCTCACTGAATGCCCTCCTTGCAATTTCAGTGGCTTTGGTTGTTACTTACCAGTTACTCCCACTCTGCCCCAGGCGCATCTCAGCGCTTGGTGTGGGATCCCTGTGTAACCAGCCACTCCCCCACACCCCAGAAGTGGGAGCATCTCAGTGCTGGGCAAGGGGTCTCTAATTCAATTTCTATCCCCCTGCAGGGATGTCTCTATGTCTCTGCTCCCCGATGTGCACCGGGGCCTCCCCTTCCCAAACTCCCCGACTCGGGCTGCCCTGGTGTCTGGCTCCTATCTCTATTACCACTACGGCTGCGCTGGGGGCGGCGACCCGGCGCGGGCGCCCCCGGCCCCTCCAGCCACTCTGCTCCTGGCTGGTGGCTGCAGGGGCCGGAGCAGGGCCAGGTGGCTGCCCCCAGCTGGTCCCCAGGCTGGCTGACATCCAGAGATCTCTGGTGGAAATGGGGGACAAGCCCCCAGTCTTTGTTGGCTCTCGGGACTGGATTGGCACCGTGGAAGCTGCCTTGTGTGTCGATCACTTTTTTGGAGTGCCGTGCAAGATTGTGCACAGTCCCCGGGGGGAGGGGCTTGGGGGACAGATGGGGGTCTTGTATGCCCATTTTGAAGGGGGCGGGGGGCCCGTGATGGTGGGAGGCGATGCTGACAGTGCCTCCAAAGGGCTGCTGGGAGTCTGCTCAACCCCCACCAGCCACCATCTCCTCGTTCTGGATCCCCACTATTATGGGGGGGTCGGGAACCTCAGGCGGGAAGGGGTGCAGGCAGCGGGGTGGGTGCACTGGCAGGGCCTGGCCTCCTTTGATCCCACCTCCTTCTACAATCTCTGTCTGCCACAATTCAGGTGGGACACAAGCAAGGCGACTGGGGGGGAAGCTTGGGGAACAGTGCTAGTGAAAACTGATGTGCACTAACAAGAGTCAACAAGATGGCCTCTGGGGCCATGTGAACATTTGGTTGCATGAGTGACCATCACCTAGATGGCTACCAAGGAGTTTACACAAGGGAGATGTCATCAGGCCACATAAACATTGGTTTGCACAAACGAGGGTCACCTGACTGGTTGCCTGGAGCTTTGCATAAGGAAGATGTCACTGGGACTCATGAACATTGCTTTGCATGAGCGAGAGTTGCCCAGCTGGCCAGGAAGGAGGTCATACAACTGGGGTATGTGAACATAGGTTTGCACAAACAAAAATGAACAAAGAGGAAATGTTATTTCCTGCCTGATTTTGGGTCAGTGCCTGGCAGGGTCTGAACAGCAATGGTTCAGTGTTCACGTGTGACTGCATTCCCCTTCTCTCTCGGCTACTGGAAGCCCATCCATGCTCTGGGGGTGGTGGGCGGATTCTCAGAAGGCAGGCTTGGAAATTAATTTTTTTTTTAAGGAAATGCAAATTTTACCCTTGCAAGATGACCGGTCCAAGAGCTGCCGTGGGTAATAAGATCAGTCATTCTGGGTCAGTGATGGACCATCCAGCCTCGTGTGTCCTGCCTTCCGACAATAACCAGTACCAAACGCTTCAGAGGGAACGAACAGAACAGGTGATCCATCCCGTCGTCCACTCCAGCTTCTGGCAATTGAAGGTTCAGGAACACCCGAAGCATGGGATTATATTCCTGCCCAACCTGGCTAATAGCCATTTATGGATCTCTCCTCCATGTACTTACCTAAATCTTTTTGACCGTCACAATATCCCCTCGTGAGGAGTTCCACAGGCTAACTACGAGTTGGGTGATGGAATCTGTCCTTACATTTTAAACCTGCTGCTGGTTCATTTCGTGGGGCGACCCTCTGGCTTGCATGTGACATGAAGGAATAAACCATACGTCAGTGATCACTTTCTCTACCTGTCATGATGGTACAGCCCTGTATCCCATCTTTCCTCTTAATCATCTCTTTTCCAAACCAAGCAGTCTAATAATTATTGTTGCCCTTCTTTGGCTGCTTTCCTGATACTAATAGATCTTCTCTGAGATGGGGTAACCCCATCTGCATGCAAAGCATGGGCGCTCGGTGGATTCATAGCACAGCAGTAGGATATTGTCTGGGTTTTTCTTTCTCCTTTTCCTCATGATGCCGAGCACTATTAGCTTTCCGGCCCATCAAGCAGCCGTCTTCAGCATACCATTCCTATTCACTCCCAAATCACTTTCTTGAGAGGGGATCCCAGTGTTCACTCTAATTTTTTCATCCGCACGTGGAATACATTTTGTTATGTGCACTGAGGCATTTGCAAATGTGCACCACAGTAGATACACATAATGTCTGTGTCTAGACTGGCAAGTTTTTCCGCAAAAGAAGCTGCTTTTGCGGAAAAACTTGCCAGCTGTCTACACTGGCTGCCTGAATTTTCGCAAGAACACTGACGATCTCATGTAAGAAATCAGTGCTTCTTGCGGAAATACTATGCTGCTCCCGTTCGGGCAAAAGTCCTTTTGCGCAAAAGCTTTTGCACAAAAGGGCTAGTGTAGACAGCTCAGATTTGTTTTGCGCAAAAGTGCGTCTAGATTGGCCACAGATGCTTTTGCAGAAAAGCGTCCGTGCCAATCTAGACGCTCTTTTCCGCAAATGCTTTTAACGGAAAACTTTTCTGTCAAAAGCATTTGTGGAAAATCATGCCAGTCTAGATGTAGCCAATGTGAGCTATGGGAGCTCTGCTAATCAGCTGGGTGGCATTTAAATCTCTCCTATGCAGTTGCCCAAATGCTCAGCTTACCGGGAATGCTGGTGGGGAGATGGCTAATTTAGCCCCCTCACTCTGTGTTTTGTATGTGTAATTTATGATGCCCACCTTCCGGGTTGGCCTGGATGCTCCAGGAATTAACAAGCTTTTTAATGAAAGAGTCTGTTGTGGGCTGAACTATCCCGCAATACGGATGGGCCACCCTCTTCCAACGGCCATCGCATTGTGCACACTGGATCCAGCAACACCCCAGCTAATGTGTTATTGGTGGTGGGGGTGGGGAGAGGCCAGAGCCCAGGTGAGATCTGAGGAGCAATGACACTGGTATCTGGCTCAAAAGAGAAAGTCTGCAGGTGTCGTAGGGTCACCTGGGAATGGCACAGGGAGAGCACAGGACTGGTCTGGTCTGGGGGGGTGCCCCAGTTCAAAGCAGGGGGCAGCTATAAGTCTCTGCCCAAATGGGGCAATCGCTGGGGAGCAGAAAGCCAAAGGGTAGAGGCCATAGCTGGAGCTGGTTGCATGTGCCCACATAGCGCGGGGGCCTGGCAAGCACAGCATTGTATTTGCACATAGGTGGGGAGCTGTCACTGGGACATGGGATTGTCAGGGGAACACCCAAGACTTGGGTGAAGGCTCTCCCCTGCAGAGGCGGGTGCTGGGCCCCAGGAAAAGAGAGCTGGCAAGAAAGCCTGAAAAGAGATGTGAAAAGGTGCACAAGGGCCCTGGTGCTGTGACCTTTTCACCAGGAGTCATCACTAGTGCCAGCAGGGGGCTGGCAGCCCGGACTCCTGGGCTCTCATTAGGGATGTAAGTGACTAGTCGACTATCCGATTAGCAAAAGCTTATCGGATAGTTGGACTAGTCGCTTCCTCGCCCTTGCTGCCTCTATCAGAGGCAGTACGGGGAGCGGGGTGGCAGGAGCCGGTGTTGAGAAAAGCCAGCTTAAAAGCCGGTTCCCTCCAGCACTATCTCCATGGGAGGCAGATTCCTCAGCTGATTCCTGGTTCACGCCCAGTCCCAGACAGAAGCTACATCTACATTGGCATGATCTTGCGCAAATACTCTTTAATGCAAGAGTTCTTGCGTTAAAGTATTTGCGCAAGAGAGTGTCTACACTGGCATGTGCCATTGCGCAAAAGCATCTGTGCCAGTGTAGACGCTCTCTTGTGCAAGAAAGCTCTGATGGCCATTTTAGCCATCGGGCTTTCTTGCGCAAGAAATTCATGTTGCCTGTCTACACTGGCCTCTTGCGCAAGAACCGTTGTGCAAGAGGGTTATTCCTGAGCAGGAGCATCATGGTTCTTGTGCAAGAAGCCCTGATTTCACACATTAGAACGTCAGTGTTCAAAGACCCCCCCCCCAGTGTAGACAGGCAGCATGGTTTTGGGCAAAAGCGGCTGCTTTGGTGCAAGATCATGCCAGTGTAGACACAGCCACAGTGTCTCTGCTTTTTAAATGTATTAAGAGCTGACAGGCTCTTAATACATTTAAAAGGCTAAAACGCAGCAGGGGGAATCCAGCGTGATCTGGGGCAGCTGATTCCCAGCTCAATGGGTTCCCCCCTTCTGCTCAACAGCCAACAAGCCCGAGAGATCAAGACGATTGATCTCGTCCCAACTCTTCTGGATTCTGAATTGGCAAACTTTTTCTGTTGACAGATTCCAAAAGTATTGCTAATGTCCTGTAATTTCAGACATGTTTGTTCTCTGAATTATGAACCCTGTCTGCAAGGTTTTCCTCCCCCACTCCCTTTGCTTTAAGTTTGCACTAGTACGGAGGTTTATATACAGAATAACTTGTTTTCATTTGTTGCCCTTTAAATGAAAATCCGAGTCATTTCCATTGCAGTGACCCTCACTTGCACTTTCTGGCCAAGGAATTGGTTTTAGATGTCTTTGCCACTTCAAAGATTTCATGCAGCCCCACAAAAACATTTAGCTTGGGATCAGTGGCTACTGAGTCCTGGTTCACTGGCTCAGTAGCTATGATGACTTCATCTACCCAGCATCCGAGTGTTTTCTTGATTCAGTGTTTTATTGAAAGATCCTGTGTTTGAGCATATGAATAGCTAAACGATGCTACACTGCCTGTTCTCCACCCTCCCAAATGTCCATCCTGTCCTTGAATTTTCAAAATCTGCTTTTGTCCTTAGGGCAAACTCACGGACCACCCACCCCTCCTACCACCCCTAAAACGGACCTCCATCATGGGAGCAAACAGGAGCTGAAACACGAGGGGCGCCGCCTAGTGGAGAGTGGCCGTCAGAACATAGACTTCAGCAACGTGGACATCTCCGAACTCAGCAGCGAGGTCATTAACATGGAGACCTTTGACGTGCGGGAGCTCGACCAGTATTTGCCACTGAACGGCCACTCCGCCATGCCGGCTGACCATGGGCAGAACGCTTCCACGGGCCCGTACGGCCCTTCTTATTCCCATTCAGCCAACGGCAGCAGTGGAGCAGCCCAAGTTTGGACTCACAAAAGCCCATCCTCGGTGTCCCCGACTTTAAACGAAACCGGCCAGCAGAGACCCCATATCAAAACGGAGCAGCTCAGCCCCAGTCATTACAGCGATCAGTCCCATGGGTCTCCATCTCACTCCGACTATGGTTCCTACAGTGCACAGGCGTGTGCCACTACGGCATCCACCCCAACAGCTGCGGCTTCTTTCTCCAGCTCGCAGTGCGACTACACAGACCTCCAGAGTTCGAATTACTACAACCCTTACTCCGGCTACCCCTCCAGCATTTACCAGTATCCGTATTTCCATTCCTCCCGGCGCCCCTACGCCACACCCATCCTGAACGGCTTATCCATCCCTCCTGCTCACAGCCCCACGGCTAACTGGGACCAGCCCGTCTACACAACCCTGACGAGGCCTTAGAGGCTGGAAGGAATCTTCCCAAAACTATATGCACTAATGAAGGAATGAAGAAAAACAAAGTGGAGTGCCGTGGCAAATTCTTAAGTGCCTGCTGAGCCACTGGGAACTCTATTCATTGGGACTGGGTGTCTGTTGCTTCGAAATCGCCAAACTTTAAAAGACAGAGTTCTATTTTTCTTTAATGAAAACAAACAAAAAAACTAACGGATGGGAAATTCCTTTTTGAGTAAATGAAGGACAAAACTGCGTGACTCCTCTGTGAGGACTGAAGCGAACTTCTTAGTTTTGAACGTCTGAGTGCAAAACCAGAAAGATGTACGAGACTTTAAGGGTCTATTGCAATGTGAGATACGGACCAGCCTTGGAGGCAAGAACTCACTAGGACCAATTAATATATACAAAGCATTTCCGCTATTCCATATAACGATCTTATGGGAACATAGCCGAGTCGGCTAGGACCAACCAGTTAAATG